ACTTCTTCTAAGCCAGCCACACCCAGTGGGGGCTCAACACAGCCCCCCAAGCCAGGAACCTCTCAGCCGACAGCCACTGGGCCCATCAGGAGTCCCTCACCTTCAGGTAGTTCAACATATTGTTTGTTCTGGAGTCCCCATCACTCTTCTTAACTCAGACAGGGGTTCCAGGGATATGCTGTAGGACAGGGTCCACCCAGGCTAGCCTGGCCTAACCACATTGACTACCTCCAAGGAATCTTGTCTAGTTCCAGACAGATGGCCCCAGGGGATTATAACGGGGTGAAGGTGGAAGGTGTGGGGACACAGAAGCAGGTCTTGGAGCCAGTGAGTCCCCTAACTCCCAGGACAATCTGTATTTAGGGTCTTCAGGTGGGAGCTCTACTCCAGTACCTAGGGGGGTACAAGATAAAAATTAAGGTTTTATGGCTGTCAGAGTGGGCTAACATATTCCTTTAATCCCAGTACTAGCGAGGTAGTGAAAGGCAGACCTTTGTGAGTCCAGCCTGGTCTATATAATGAGTTTCAGTCCTGCCACAGCTACACAGAGAGAACGTGCCTATAAAAAAATTATGGCTGAATGTAGCGGTGCATGCCTGTGATGCCAGCTACTAGAGAAACTTAGGTAGGAGGGTCGCTTGAGCCTAGGAGTTCAAGGCTAGCCTGAGCAGTGTACGGAGGCAGTGGTACGAAAACAAAAACGAAAAACGCACAGCTGGGGAGATGACACACTTGGGCCTTCTAAGCATGAATTTGGCCCCCAGAACCCACATTAAACAGCTAGGCATTGGGAGAGGGGTGCACTTACAGCCCAGTGTTGAGAAGTCAGAGACAGGAAGAACCCTGGAATCACTGGCCACATAGCCCAAGGCCAGCTCTAGGCCAGTGAGAGACTCTGCCTTACAAAATAAGATGGGGACAGGCAAGATGGCTCAGTATCTTGCCTGACAAACCTGAGTTAGATCCCTGAGTCCTACATACTTAGTGAAAGAAAACTGACGCCTGCAGGTGTCCTCTGACCACAACATGCACCTCGCCATGCAACACAAATATACACACTACATATATAAACTTAAAACACACTGCACAGCCGGGGGAGGGGTGCACTTGGAGAGGCAGAGGCAGGTGGATCTCTGCGAGTTCGAGGACAGCCTGGTCTACGAAGCAAGTCCAGGACAGCCGAGGTTACACAGAGAAACCCTGTCTGGAAAAATACAAAGCAAAACAAAACAAAAAACAAAAACCAAACCAATACACACACACACACAGAGGAGATTCCCACTGACAGGTCTTTGTACTGCTCATTAAGCTGTACCCACAAATCCCTTCAAGGTACAGGGTCACAAAGGGCCAGGCATGACTAGCTGTCCCACAGGAATAATCACCAGAGGCAGTTGTACATGGCCGACTTCTGATGAGTATTTATTTTTATTTTATGTACATTAGTGTTTGCATGTATGTCTGTGTGAGGGTGTTAGATCCCCTGGAATAGGAGTTATAGACAACTGTGAGCTGCCGTGTGGGTGCTGGGTCCTCTGTGAAAGCAGTCAGTGCTCCTAACCGCTGAGCCATCTCTCCAGCCCCTCTGATGGGTGTTCTCTAAAAACTGTGTCAAGTGTCACTGAGACCTACGTACGGTTTAGGTGCTACATGTATTCAAAACTGGAGTTGAAGCCACATAAGACAAAGCTCACTACAGCCAGCGGTTCACTGTGCGCCCTTGAACGCCGTCCTGGTATGTCAGAAGCTGGCAGCCATGACACCAGGAGCCTCGGTATCCCAGGCAGGCTCCTGGTGGAGTTAGCAGCAGCGCACCCATTCTCGGAACCTCAGTTGGAGGTGTTGGGCCAGGCGAGTCCTGGTAGCTCAGCCAGGCCCAGGTTGAAGGGGAAGTGCTTTTGGGAGTGTTTCAACAGTAAGTGGACTTGATGTCTTGAACAGAGCCACCAGGAGGAGGAGGAGGAGGAGGAGGAGGAGGAGGAGGAGGAGGAGGAGGAGAGGTGGGTGACGGCCAGAGGTTTTCCACGGTGGACATGGCAGTTCTGGGCGGCGTGCTAGGTGCGCTGCTGTTGCTGGCCCTCATCGGCCTGGTCATCCTCATCCATAAGCACTACCGTCACCGGCTCAAATGCTGCTCTGGCAAGGCTGCGGTAAGGATCCTGGGCTAGGTATAGAGTAGAAAGGGGCTAAGGGAGCACAGAAAAGGGACATGGAGGGCTGAAGAGAAACAACTGGGGGAAAGAGCTTCACAGGGGGAGAAAACAGAGGTGGGCTGGGGTGGGTGTGCTGATGCCACGTGGTAGGGGGGCAGGGGAACCAGCGATGGTGGGAGGAGGTTCGGAAGGCACCAGCGGGAGTAACAGCACAGCTTCTGAGGCCTTTGCCCTCGCTGAACCCTTAGGAGCCAAAGTCGAGTGGTTATGACAACCTGACCTTCCTCCCAGACGACAAGACCAGTTGGGCAACCGCTTCCAACCCTCAGCCGGAGTCAGGCCCTGAGCCCACCCAGCAGTCCCCTGGGTCCCATAGCCCCATGTCCTCCAGCCCCACGCCGCCCCCCAGCTCCCCGCCTCCGAGCCCCGAGCCCCGAGCCCCAGGGTCTCCTAAGACAGTCCAGGCTGGAGACGGTCCTTCAGCTGTGCGGTCTATCCTGACTAAGGAGCGGCGGCCGGAGGGGGAGGGCGGCTACAAGGCCGTATGGTTCGGCAAGGACATTGGGGCGGAAGCCGATGTGGTAGTCGTCAACGAGCCTACCGCAGACAGCGCCTCGGGAAGCGAGGGCAGCGACGACGACGACGACGACCTTGACCGGAATAAGAATCCTCACTTTGACCACGAAAACACTTATATCTAGGACGGCACCCCCCCACTCTCCAACCCAAGCCACTCCCTTTTCCTCTGCTAATTAATTAAAGTAGCACTTTCGAATTCTCCTAATGCGGTGCCAGGGAGTGGTGCCAGGGAAGGTCCTTCAACAAAGGCCAATCGCACAGGCTTCCTCTTTCGGGTTGCGGTGGGGCTCACCCGACTCCCGCCGACTTCACACCCACAGCCCTGCACTCCACCTCAGAGAGCGCAGCGCGCTCCGAGTAAAACACCTGCTGTGAGGGCACAAATGAGGGCTTCCAGATGGCTAGCCGCCAAAGCTCCTTCTGTAGCGGGGTGGGGTGGGGGGTGGGGATGGGACGATGCCTGGGGTGGGGAGCGGGGGGGGGGGGGCCGGGGGGCGGGCGAGGGCCGGAGGGGACACAGGACTCCTTGCTAGAAATCTCCAGCTCTTTGCCCAATGTGGACAGCTTCTCTTGGGGGAGGTGAAGGAGGCAGCTCCGCCTAATCCACGGGCAATGTCTTCTGGGAGACTGGTTAACTGCTGCAAAGAAAGGTCTGGCCGGGAGTGGTGGCTCACCTCAGAGTGTGGGAGGCAGAGGCAGGTGGATCTCTGTGAGTTTGAGGCCAGCCTGGTCTACGTAGGGAGTTCCAGGGCAGCCACCCTTTCTCAGAAGAAAACAACAACAACAACAACAAAAATACAAACAAACAAACAAAACTCCAGCTGCTGTGCCAATGAACACTGCACTCTGCCCCACACAGAAACCTTAGATACAAGAAACGGACCTACAAGTCATGTCAGCAGGTAGAGGAGGCCAAGGAGGTTACACACAGCTCTCTGGGTCTGCTTCCTGGGGGGTGCCCCACTCTCTGGGCTTCTTGTACAACAGGAACCACGGCATGCTTTCTAGAAAAGTCACACCAAATTCCTTTCCAAGAGTTTTAATTTCCTTCCAGTATCTGAGTACTTTTCTCATTGACAGTTTTATCGTTTATATAATGTGATTTTGGTTTCGTTTCAACTGGTGATTTTCATGCCCCATTCTCCCCTCTCATCGTCCTTTCTCTTTTGTTGGAACCCTTCTCAACAAGCCTCCTTCCTTCTTTCATGCCTCCTCAGTAGCCCTATGAACTTAGTTTCTTTCTTTTTTATTGTTTTGTTTTGCTGTTTTTTTTTAAATTTATTTTATTGATTTTCTGTTTATAAATATTCTACCTGCATGTATGTCTACATGCACCAGAAGACAGCACCAGATCTCATTATAGACGGTTGTGAGCCACCATGTGGTTGCTGGGAATTGAACTCAGGACCTTTGGAAGAGCAGCCAGTGCTCGTAACCTCTGAGCCACCTCTCCAGCCCCATGTTTTGCTGTTTTTAAAAATTTACTTTAAAAAATTTTATGTGCATTGGTGATTTGCCTGCATGTATGTGTGAAGGTGTCAGATCTTGGAGTTACAGACAGTTGCCATGTGGGTGCTGGGATTTGAACCTGGCTCCTCTAGGAAGAGCAGTCAGTGCCTGTAATCGCTGAGTCTAGTCCCGGTCAATTAGTTTCTTGGCCCAGTTGAACAAGGACAACTTACCACTGAATAAATGACACCCCCTTTCCCCAAAGGGAAAGTGATGGTGGGGGAGGGGCACTGGGCTCCCATCAGCCGCCAGGAGGAAATGTTACCGGGACTATTCTTGAGGGCATCTGCTGATGACCACAGGTGCAATGAGCACAGCGTTCAATGGCTGTGTCACCTCAGAAGACTTTTTTTTTTTTTTTTCTGCATATCTCATATCTCTGCTGTCACTCTGTGTTCGTGGGCCAGTTACGGATTCTTAAGCACTGCAATAAGCTTCTCTAACAAAGACTGGGCACAACACTGGTCTGTGGTTATATTTTAAATTTTGAGACAAGGTTTTTTTTTTTTTTTTTTTTTTTTCGGTTTTTGTTTTTTGAGACAGGGTTTCTCTGTATAGCCTTTCTCTGTATATCCTAGTCTCCCTTTGTAGACCAGGCTGGCCTCGAACTCACAGAGTTTCGCCTTCCTCTGCCTCTCTGAGGGCTGGGATTACGGGTGTGTGCCTCCGCCCCTGGCCAGGGTCTTGACTCTTTAACCCAGGTGGCCCCAGTCCTTCCGTGTCAGCCTTTCCCGCGATGGTCTTACAAGTGGAGGGACCATGAGTGGCTTTGGAATAGTCTCATCTGCGTCGTTCTCAGTGTAGAGCCAAACTGTACCACAGCTTCTCTTAAGACTCCACTTCCTAATACTTTTCTGCGAGCTAAACAAAACAAATAAAAACTGCTGACATTGTTTGGGATCCTTTTGGGTATCTGTGCCATATCCCGCTGCGCTTTTCTGAGGAGGGGCTGGAGCTGGCAGGGAGACCCCCCCCACCTGCCACTCCTACTGTGCCCCGACTCCACCCCGAGATTTGGAGGTTCTGTCCAGAGCACGGTCAGCCTCCCTCATTGATTCTACGATGTGCCTGGGTGACTGTGAATTCCAGAGCGTAGTGCTGCGGGCACGTGACACGCCGGGGCCGTCCGGAGCCCTTAGGCCACACCCCTTTGCACTCCGCCCCGCCCCTGACCGAGGTACTATAAAAGCACTGGCTGCCCGCTTCTCACGGAGATAAAACCGTCCCGGCGGCTCCGGTACCAGGTATGCGGGACCCCCGGCCCACGCGGGCAGGGAGGCGAGCTGGTACCACTGGGGAAATTCTTGTCCCCCTCGACCGAGTAGTGAGCGACCGGGGAAAGGAGTGCCGAGAGGGTCGGGGTGGGCGGGGGGAACTGGAGGGAGGCGGGCCCGGTAGGATCTGCCATCAGAAGAGCTGCAGGGGTTGGGGGTCTGCGTAAGGGTCGGGTAGAGGTCGAGGACTGCACCCGTAGACACGGAGACGGTGGGAAGCCGATAGCTACCAGCGGGCTGTTTAGACTGTTTAGGTTTCATTTTCCTGAGATGCAGTTTCGCTTTACTCGCCTGGGCCCACCCCTTTCTCGCCTCCTGTCTTTGCAGGGTCCAGCCTGTGGCAGCCCGTCCAGGCCCGGACGCTGGATCAACACCTGTGACTTCACGTGTGCGCTCCTGCTACATCTGTAGTCACATCCACAGCCACCTTGGCCGAGGAATCCACACTTAGGTTCGCAACCTAGGTGGCTACAAGTTCTCAAACCTCATCTGTGACCCTCAACACCCTAACACCTGGGTCACACTTGTGACACTTAAATTCCTACCTGTGACCGACACTCGGAACACTTAGATCACTTTTGTGAAACTTGGCCACACGATCTGTGGCTACAAGCGGAAACCACAGTGACACCCAAGGGAGTCTTACCTTATTTGTAACACCTGACTGCTCCAGTGACTGCAACCCACCAGAGTAGCATCTATTTTGATTCTCCCAGACGGCCCTTGTAGGAGCAGCAATGGCCATAGAGAGGTGAGAACATGCCCACCCTGGTTGTGTTGGGTCCTGTATGCCTTGCACTGACTCTGATCCTAGCATGGTTGCCCTGCCTGCAGGGGTCCCCAGCGTGTGCTGTTCAGCGAGTGGCTGCTGGGTGAGGTCAGCAGCGGCCAGTATGAGGGGCTGCAGTGGCTGAACGAGGCTCACACGGTCTTCCGTGTGCCCTGGAAGCATTTCGGGCGCAAGGATCTGGATGAAGCCGATGCACGCATCTTCAAGGTGGTACCCAATCCTGCCCTCTGGATAATCTGCCGGAACTCCTGGGGAATTCATTCATCCCCAACCCACGTTCTCTGTTCTCTCCTTCAGGCCTGGGCTGTGGCCCGAGGGAGGTGGCCACCTAGTGGATATAACTTGCCACCCCCAGAGGCTGAGGCCGCTGAGCGAGCAGGCTGGAAAACCAACTTCCGATGCGCACTCAACAGCACGAAGCGCTTTATCTTGCACAAGGACAATTCAGGAGACCCTGCTGATCCGCACAAGGTGTACAAGCTGAGCCTGGAGTCTGGATCTGTTGGTGAGGACTGCCACAAATAGGGATGGCGGGGGGAGGGGGGGCGAACATTGGACTCAGCTGCTTTGGTGGCTTTATGGTTCAGTTTGTGGTTTTTGAAACTGGTTGGTAAAAGGCTGAGTGTAGGCCCAGTTCCTCCTCTTCCAAGGTGTGTGTTGGGGAGTGGGGACCACACTTCTTCCAAGTCAGAGCCTTGGGCTGAATGAGGTGCCTGGTGGCTTGAGGCGATAGGGTATGGGGGGGGGGGCGACAGAGAACTTTTGAAGCTACTCAGGCATCATAACCAAGTTGCATATTGGCCTCAGATTCAAATACCCCCTCCCCTCTCCTTCAGAAGGCCCCGCCATGGAAAATAGGGCAGAGGTGACCCTCAGCAATGCCCTACACACACAGGTACAGTTTGGTTCACTCCTACCATGTGTGGGGGATGGGTGGCTGCCTACCACTAAGCTTTCCCTAGGACCATTCTTAGCAAGGGGAAATGCTGGGCTCCAAACCCCCAAGCAAGCTCTCCGCTCTCTGGTGATACTGGGGACCTCTTGCTTCAGGTTCTGCAATACAGCTTCCTGGAGGACCACCTACTAGAATCTGAGTCTGGGGCAGATCCAGTCCCACCACAGGCTCATGGTAAGAGACAGGAGGAACTGTGACTGAGCTGGGGCCGACCCCACTTGCCTGAGGCTGCATGAGAGGGAGAACAACTGAGTCCTTGGAGTGAGGAGGAAAGATGGTGCTCAGATGACAGGGTTGGGAAGCTAGGGCAAGATGGACAGTCAGCTCCAACTTGTCCCCAGGCTGGGAGCAAGAACATGCTTCGGAGGAGCCCCATGCAGCATGGCAGGTGGAAGCTGCTCCTGTCCCCAGGTTTCAACAGCCAGCCCTGATGACCGGTGAGGACCCAGGGCCCTGTGGTGTGGGCTGTGCTAGCACAGGTCCTCCCCAGCACATACGCAGACTACCAAGTAGAACACTGTACCACTCATCCCTCACATCTGTACCTCAGTGGGAGGTGGGTGGGTGCTGCAGGGAGTGTGGGACAAAGGGCCCCACCCATGCCTACCACTCCTAATAGTTTGTTCTGTACAGAGCGCAACCTAGGTTTCCTGAATGTAACCATCATGTACAAGGGCCGCACAGTGCACCAGGAAATAGTGGGGCACCCCAGCTGCGTGTTCCTGTATAGCCCCATGGGCTCGGCGATAACCTCAGTGCCCCAGCCGGTGATTTTCCCCAGCCCCGCTGAACTCCCAGATCAGAAGCAGCTGCACTACACCGAGATGATTCTGCAGCACGTGTCTCCAGGCCTTCAGCTGGAGCTGCGTGGGCTGTCACTGTGGGCCTTGCGCATGGGCAAGTGCAAGGTATACTGGGAGGTGGGCAGCCCCATGGGCTCCACGAACCCCTCCACCCAAGCCCAGCTGTTGGAGCGCAACTGCCAGACCCCCATCTTCAACTTCAGCACCTTCTTCCAAGGTCAGTAGGTTGCCTGTCTGGGGTCCTGTCCTTTGGAGCCCTGGAGCCTTTCACCAGAAAGGCTCACCAGAGCTACCTCCCAACAGAGTTGGAGGAGTTCCGGGCCCGGAGGCGGCAAGGATCACCACACTACACCATCTACCTGGGTTTTGGACAAGATTTGTCAGCAGGGAGGCCCAAGGAGAAGAGCTTGATCCTGGTGAAGGTAGAGCCTGGGTTAGCAAGTAAGGATGTGTGGGCTGCTGGGCAGGGGCCCTAACACGTGTCCTTCCCACAGCTGGAGCCATGGCTATGCAAGGCGCGCCTGGAAGGGGTGCAGCGCGAGGGTGTGTCCTCTCTGGACAGCGGCAGTCTTGGCCTGTGCCTATCTAGCACCAACAGTCTCTACGATGACATCGAGCACTTTCTCATGGATCTGGGTCAGTGGTATTAGCCCAGAACCCCAACTCCCAATAAAGAGAGGTCAGAAGCAGTGTTGTCCTGAAGCCGGTTTATGCCCTGACTGTATCTACCTGTTTACTGCCCTGGCGGAGTCCCATGAAAGGTGACCCCACTCCCTGCACATTACCATCTTCACAAGGAAGGACTGGCGTGTTACCACAGACCCTCTGGTTATGAATGCTCTGAGACAGGCACTGGGAGCATGCTTTTGGTGGCCGTGGGAAGGTGAGATGTGTGTCTCCTGACAGGAGCACAAAGCAACCACAGCAAGAAAACTGGTACAGCAGTGAAGTTCCATGAGTAAATGCTGGCGACTTTCCCACTGGGCCATCAGGCTTTCTGAACCCAAGAAAGCTTCGCCTTCCAAGCACGGAGTCCATAGCAATGTTTCTAAAGATAAGCCATTTTTGATAAATTAGAGCACAATGGAAACAGTGTATCTATAATATACATATAAAAAAAGTCCAGTTTTCAATTGTAAGCAAGACAGGTGTAGCCAGGTGTCATGAGAACCTCAGAGGCAGGAGTGCTGGTGGCCCCATTTTTTTCCTACTGGGGACGCCTCCCCACACAGTGGCTGGCCTTAGGTCTCAGCACCCTGAGAGGGTGGCTCCTCTCCGGCTTCAGCTTTCTTGTGCCTGCGCATGTGCCTGTATTTGTCCACATAGGCCTTCACCAGGTTGGCCACCTTCACAGGGTTGATTTCACCACTCTTGCTGTGGCAGATCTGAAGAAGGAACACATCACTCTGAATGCTCTCTCATCCTGTCACGGAGACCAATCCAGCCACTTCCCTGGCCATCTCCAAGTAGGCCCCTTGGTCTTGTCTGGGTACATGTATCCCTTCCCCCTCCCCGCAATCAAACTTAACAGAGCTGTTGAGGTTTCTGTATGTTTGCTGAAGGTCAGCAGAAGCTAGAGACTTGTTCCCATAGAAAGGCCTGCCCATCTCTTAGGGACTTTGTTCCTCCAGAGAAATTAAGTGGGCTGGGGAATCTGAAATTCCTCATCCATTATTTCAGTGTTAATGAGCATTGTTGAGGGGCACTTACTAGGATGTACGAATATGGCCCAGCTGGCCTACTCCACACTTACAGAGCCTGGCATCCATGCAAACAAGAAAGGGCACCTATCTGTCACACACAGATCTAGCTATTCTGTTACAGTGTATCCCATGCAACCTCAGGCTTGCCAAAAAAAAAAAAAAAAAAAAGGCATGTTTGCCTGCTTGCAGCCTACCTTCTGCACGGCTTTTCGCAGGATGTCCTTGTACTCCTCCTTGGTCACTTCTCTCTTCTGGTAGAAGGGCTTAATGGCCAGCTTCACCTCCTCCACAGCCCGCTCCTGCATGTGCAGCTTCTTCATGTACTAGGAGTGAGGACATGAGTGACCCTGTGGCAACATGGCCCCAAACTGGCCCGGGGGCCGGTTGGTGGAAAGACAGCAGTTTTGGGATGTCTGTTTACCCATGAACACTAAAGGCAATGGCTGGCTGGTCTCTTACCACCCTGAACAAGTCCCCCCGGTCTGGTTACTATCCCTAAAATCAGGCCCCAATATGATAGGGCTGTAGGACAGGCAGCACTCACCTCCTCCTTTTTGGTCTTCTCAGCAGCAGACTTGGGAGCAGCGGTCTTTTCCTCCGAGTTGTTGGTGGTGGTTGGAACAGCTAGCTCTGAGGTTGTAGCTGGCAGAGTGGGCACTGGGGCTAGGCTCTGTGCTGCACCGCAGCCTGCTAGGGGAAGGGTCCCCTGCAGGATCAGCTGGACTGAGGGCTGGCTGACCAGTGCATAGGGCATGATGCTTGAGGGCTGAGCCAGGGGTGGTGGCATGTTGGGGCTGTAAACCTGGGCAAGAATACCCCCTGCTGAGTGTAGATTCCCAACAGCTGGCAGCCCTTCTGCCCTAGAAGCACCAGGGGGCTGTATAGAAAGGAAGTAGTGCCATGAGGTCTAAGGCCTAGCCAGGGCAGCCCAAAAAGCCCAGCAGAAGGACCATGCCCCTCTAGCCCAGCACCCACCTGAGAGGGATCTGCATCAAGTAACCCAGACTCCTGGAGAACGTGGATGGGAGGGGGCAGCTCGGAGAATGGTGTCTGCTGAACTCCTATGAGGGCCCTGTCCTCTGCATCCCAGTCTCCTTCCTGGGGCTTCTGTGGCCTCTGAAGTGGTGTCCCTGAGGACCCAACAGACAGGGAAGGTGGATGCCTTGTGGTCAACCCTGGCCAAAGCATTTCCAGAGAACCAGCAGTGGGAGCCAAGGCCAACCTGCAGATCTGTCTGTAAGAAGCTGCACTGGAGTGGGCCCAAAGCTTCAGGAGAGGCTCTTAGGGTGGCATCTTCCCTGCCTCACACCTGCTCTATACCCATGACCCACAAGGACAACCACCACCAGGGGCCCAGCCACAGGCAGGACAAACTCACTTGGAACTCTATCCAGGGCTGGGGTGCTGTCCTTGGCTTCCTGCAGGTTCCAGGTGACTCTCTTCACCAGGGTTCTGGACCGCAGCAGCGGGGCCTGGGCCACAGCATCCTTGGGCCTGACTGCTTCACATCCTCTCCCACTCTCCAAAGGACTGTCCTTTCCCATGGGCACCACACCCATGGTGCTAAGAGTTGTAGTAGTGGTCTCTACAGTGTCCTGCCTGAGCAGGCACTGGCCTGAAGGGGCCAATGCCTGGGGCGTAGGCTTTGTGACATCTTCCCTGTGGATCGGTACCACTTCCCTCTGCATGACAGGTACAGTAGTATCCTGTGGAAGGCTGGCTGGGGGCAGTATGGGATTTGGTAGGAAGTTTCGCTCAGGGGAGGAGGAGTCTGTACTCTCAGGGGAAGGAGGTGAGCTCATGTCATCAAGCTGGATGAAGATAGCTTCATTTGCAAAATCCTCAAAGACGTGGCCTGCCTCCACAGAATCACCATAGTCTAGGTCCTCAGGCACACACTCCACTGGCTCTGCCAGGACAGGAGGGACTTCTGGAGGGTTCAGGTCAGCCACAACCACCTCTGGCAGGACACTTACTTCTGAGACTGGACGACTGGGAGGGTGATCTCCATCTTGCCTTGGCTCCTCCTGTGGAGCAGGAGTTGGAGAAATCTCCCTTACAGCCTCCTCCTTCTTCTCTGGGGAATGGGGCCGCTTCTCACGGGAGCGTGGCCTCCGTGACCTATGCTCCAAGCTGGGAGACCGAGACCGCCATTTCCTTCTCTCCCGTGACCGAGTCACACTCTCCTTCTTGCCCACCCGCTCTCGGCTCCTCTCCCGATGCTTGTGTCTCCGGTCCCTTTCTAGGCTGCTGTGGGGTGAGCAGTCCCTGCCTCGAGACCGGGACCCTGAATGCCGTCTCTTCCGTCTCCTACTCTCATGGCGCTCACAGGAAGAACTGCCAGGACTCCCTGAGCGGGACCTGGACTTCCTCCAGGCCCTGCCATGACCCCAGGCACTCCGCCTGTGCTCCCTGTCCCTCCTCCTCTTTGCTCTGTCCTGGCTGCTAGCACGGTCACTGGAAGACCTCCGACTTTTAGCTTTGGCTCTGTGCCTCTTAGTGTGTTCCTCAGTGACTGGAGATACTGAGCGTGAAGTCCTGTCCCGGGAGCCAGAGCGAGTGCTAGAGCGTGTCCTCTGGTGCTCTCTGGAAACCTTTTTCTTCTTCGTTTTCTTCCTGCTGCGGGAGCTGGAGGTGGACCGGGAACGGGATGGGGCCCTGAGCTCCACAATCCTGTGGGTGGTTATCTGTGGAGCATCTGGGCTTGGTGGGACACCTGGCTCCATGACAGTCACACATGTCACTGTCCGTTCCTCAGAGCCAAAGAAGGGTGTACAGGACACCCCATCCTCATCGTCCCAAGGGTCTGGTGGGGATGGTCTCTGTGTCCGGGCTATGGAGCCCTGAGTCTCTGTGGACTCTATCTCCCCCAGTCCTTCTTGCTCCAAATCAGAAGCTCCCTCAGCAGATCCCTTGCCCAGGAACTCCAGCATGCCAGACACAGGCTCACCAGGAGGCTGGGACTCAGGTTCCATCTCGGTCCCAAAGATGTTTTCTACCCTGTAGGAGGTAACACAACGCACAGTCTGCAAGGCTGGGGCCTTTGGGCTGTTGATGGAGATAGTTCTCGTGATCTCAGAGGGCAGGAGGCCTGAGCCAAGACTCTCTGGGCTGCTGCTAGGAGGGCTGGAGTCAGAGCCAGTGGGGTCAAAGGGGTCATAGATTTCGCTCTTCAGTTGTTTTGGTTTCTTGATGGAGAAGAGGGGCGAAGGGTTTTCCTTCCTCTGCACCTTGCTATCTACTGGCCGGAATGTGTTACAGAAGCCAGGACTGGACAGCTGGCTGCAGTGTGCAGTGTTCCCAGGGATGTTGATCCTAAAGCTTTCAAAGCTAGACCCAATGCCTTTTCCTCTTGAGGGTCCTATGGGGGCCAGGCTGCTTTGGGAACTGGGGGCAGGAGGGCGAGAACCACCCGTGTGTGAGCCAGTCTCCTGAGGACCTCTGCTGCTGGGCTCATTCTCAGCCCGGCCTCGCCCTGGCTGCCCCGGACCTTCCCTGCCAGTCAGGCGGCTGATGCAAGTGCTGGGGAGCTCGACAGTCTGCCCACTGGCTGGGGCCTGGTCCTGTGTGCTATTACTGCTGTCCCTGTGGATCTTTGGTATCCTGGGTAGCTTTGAGAAATCAGGTCTCTTGGGATCTGTTTTCTGAGGATGCCCAAGAACTATAGTTTTAGATGGAAAGTTAGAATGAGCAGTAATCTTACATGAGGCGGAACCAACCCGTACGCTGGAGCCATTAACTTGGGGGCTGTTATTCTGTTTCAAGCTAGGCCTGCTCTCATTTGGCAAGTTCCCAGCTTGACTTGAACGAGGGACCACTGATGAGTCCAGCCTTACAGGGGTGTCCACTGTGCAGGCAGGGATACAGCGAAGAGCTGCTCTGTTCCCACTGCTCAGCCCTGAGCTTTGACGCCTGTCTCCCACGAGTCCACTGGATGCGCTCCCTGAGGGTAGTGTCCCCGGCTGCAGGCTGTCTCTGGGCCTGGA